AGCCCCATCCTTCACAAGATTTTACAGATATACTACCCAAAAGACCAGCAAAGCGGGGTAATTTTTAAAAAAAAAAAAAAAAAAAAAAAAAAACTTGAATGTGGAAGGTTCTATTGGTCTACATACATATGTGGCAGAAAACTAATACTGAACAACATCCTGAATACAACATCCCAACTGTGAACATGGTGGTGGCAGCATCATCCTCGGGGAAGCTTTTCAGAGTAAAAAAAAAAAAAGACCCAAACAAACTCTAGCCTAAAAGCTAATTGAAAATCTGTGCCAAGAAGTGAAAGCCAGTGTTCACAGGACCTCTGAGACCCATCGGCTCAGCTTGAATTGTTTTTGCAAAGAACAAGTTGTAATTGCAGTACGGACTGAATGCAAACGCATATCACAATTTTGGGATTTTTATTTGTCAAACATTTGGAAAATCATGTATCCGTATACTTCTTCTTCACGTAGACATGTTACTTTTTGTTGACCAATCACATAAAATCCCTCCACAATGTGTGCGTGAATACTTCTGCAGTTAGCATAGCATGTTGCGAAGTAAAGACCACAAGATGTACTTCAGCTGAGAAGAGTGGCCACCCAGACTGAGGTCAGAGTGTGCTGAGTGTGTATGACTCACAAAGGACACGACCACAACCTCCACCCCAGATTTCGTCCTGCTCAAATTCACTCTGACTAACCCTCCCATTCAAATTAGCACCCCAGTGACTCAGTGAAAAAAGAAAAAAACACACACACACACACCACTGCCCCACACAGACACATTAATACTCTCTGTATTTTCATTTTCAAAAAAAACAAAAAAAAAAAACATATGTATTAAGGAGTTAAGCTGACCTTGGTGGTGGGTCGCAGAAGGAACGGCGCATAGTGCTTCTCAGCAAAAGAGGCCAAGGTCCAGCGGGAGCAGGAGGGCTCGAGGCAGCGCAGACCCATTGAGGCCTCTCCGCTCTGAGACAGCAGGTCCCGCGTGGAGCTGTTGTTCTCTGGGCTCTGGCTGGTCGTAGAGGCTGAGTCACCCTGAGGAACGGTGCAGGCGCCGGATGTGGGCGCCGGGCAGTGATGAGCGAAGGCGGCAGAGCCTGAGGAGCCCCCATTACCTCTGCTCCCACCGAGGTTGCTGCCTCGGCTGTTCATGCTGCTTCTGCTGACGTTGTTGTTGTTGTTGTTGTAGTAGTCGCCGCTGTGGTTGCCCCTCGTCTGAACCGGGTTGATCGGCTGCACCGAGATCTGTGACCGGGGCTCGGCCGTGGTGTAGAAGGCCTGCGTGCGGGGGTCGTACTCCGTCCTGAGCTGCACCGTGGACTGCATGGTGATCTGGGTTTGCTGGGCGAAGCTGTGGCTGCTGTAGCTTGGTGGAGGCGTGTGATAGGAAGGAGGAGACGTGCGATACGAAGGCGGAGGGCTGTAGTGTCCCGCGTCTGCTCCGTCCAAGTACGCCTGAGGCTCGATTTGAATCACTCGATTGGCACATGGGCTGCGGAGGCATACAGAGAAGCAGGAAAAAAAAATTAAGCCATGAACAGCTGTGAGATAAAAAAATATATATATATTAAAAAAAACTTCATGGCTAAATGAAACACACTGCAGGAACCTTCAGTTTTGTAAAATAGAGCACAGCGTTACATCTGTTTGAAATATTGTTCAGCCTTTTGGCATTTTGGGTCTTCCTCTGCCAACAGCATGAAATATAGCGGTAACAATGGAATTTAATAGCACAAGTACACATCTGCACTAAGGCAGCGCCAACAAGCATGCCCAGGCTGGCAGGAAGACCGGTAGAGTCTAATAAAGACAGTGACAGATAAACACACAGCGAAACAACCGAGCAGCCAGACAGACACAGACAACTTTAGCTCTAATTAGGTTCTGATTCAGACGGATTATTGTAATGGATAACTGGGAGATAATGTTGTCCTGAAGCTATTTCTAAGAAGATAAAAGTACGGAGAAAAGAAAAAAAAAATCATGAAGGGAAATAACTGGAAAGCAATCACTCAGAATCGAAAGAACTGATCTCACCTGTAGAAGCAGCAGAAGATGTCAAAGCGCCTTTCTTCTCGTCTGTAGAGATCCATGCTGAGGATGGCGGGAAAGATGAGCAGCACCATGGCGAAGTTAAACACCACTACAACCGCGGCCTGCAAGACACCGAGAGGGGGCAATTTTATTCCCGAAGAGCTGGTAGAGTAACAGAGATACACAATCAATTGCAAAAATACATAGGTTTGAAAAAGTATTCGATTTCTTTAAACCTTTAAACATTTGTATTTGCGCTTATTTACTCTAGAACTGCTAAATAAAAATAAAGGGGGATCAAATGCATTCAGAAGCCCCTTAAGAATCGGAGATGCTCACAAGTGGATTTCAAAGTCAGTTCTCAAGAGTTTCAAGAATGAAGTTGATACTTTCTAATCTACTGCTAACCATTCAGTCTGCCTCTATCACTGTATCCTTGTAAGTTCAGAGGTTAAATCTTGTACCGTTTTGCCACATGAGCATTTAACAGTTATCTTTTTGTCAGGTAACCTTTTATTCAACACGCAAAAAACCTTGCAACCTCAGTTTATTCACTCAATTTAACAAGTTCCATAATCAACTTCCAAACACATGGTCTTACCACACTTAACCCAAATCATAACTGAAAGGTAGCATTGAGCGAATCAGATGTCCGAAGAAGCTATTAAAAGCTTTTATAGAGAGCTGGGAACATACAATTTTATACATTAATTATACAATTGATTAATTATTTAATTGACTACGATTAACGGAGCAATGTTGGGCTTTTTCCAGACACATAGTGGCATTTTATAGCATAACCAAAGATTAAAGGACTCCTCAAACATGAAACATGATTTTCTAAATACCATAAATATGCGTTTATGTTCAAAGAACAATAATAGAAATCGACAAACACATATGGTTTTTATTTTATCTTTGCAACGATGTAGTAAATACATATCCAAGTTTGAGTTCATGAAATGACAGTGAGAGTTACATGCAGGGAAACATTGTAAGAAAACTTGTTAGAGGCTGAAAGAGATTTGATACTGCAACCAAGGATCACCTTTCAGCAAGACAATGCTAAATATGCAACCAGAGCTACACTCGAATTGTATAGAATAAAGTTTATTCATGTTAAAATAGCCATGTCAAAGTTCTGGAGTGCTTAAAAATTTGAGTTTTATTTATATTCTTTCTTCTTGACAATTATGGCAAACTTTGTGTTGGTCTATGATGTAAAAATTTTGTGAAGCACATAGAGATCTGTGGCTTTAACAAGATAAAGTGTGAAAAAGGGATGCAAATACTTTAGCAAAACACAAAGTATTTATTCCAAAGAATCTAACTTTTACAACCCATGACATGAAGTCCAAAACTGTAAAAACAACTATGAAGATGAATGGCCAGGAAAGAAAAAAGAAGACCGGCGTGACTCTCAAACAGATAAAAATAAAATGTGCAAACGTAAAAGGAAAAAACTGCCTTTCAACACATTTTTAGTCTCTTTCAAGACTTAAACAGAGACTGTGCGGGGAGAAACAAAAAAAGGGGGAAAAAAGGCAAGGCATGTGTGTATGTGTAAAAGAAGCCAGTACAATGTTGTGGTTAAGTATTTGAAGGTGGTGCACTGGAGCAGAGGCTGGGGGTTGGGTCCCTGCCCAGAACACAATCTGGATATTGCGTAGTTGCCAGACCACTACACACACGCACAAACACATGCGCACAAACGCACACAATCGCATGTGTGTGCCAGACCACCCAAGAAGCCAGAGGCCCGCAGGCTCTGAGGTGATGAGCAGGCACTGCGGCTGCACAGACAACGCTCACACAAAAATGCACATAAACACACACATATCTTGAGCAGCGAAACTGTACAGCCTCCCCCTTAAACCACACCTTAACACCAACCAGACACACACATTAAAACACACTTTCTTGCTGGGTCAATGGGAGTGAAACCATGTCATAGCTTTTGTTGTGGATTTTAATCAATCCTGAAGGGAGGAAGTGAAGTAAGGAGAGGATAGGTGATAAATCAATCAACCACAGGAAGCATTTAATGCTGATAAAGAGGCACGGGTAAAGAAAAAAACACATCTTTGCCAGGAAAAAGCAAGAACTTTCATTTTCTTTCCACGAAGTCTGTCCTCTACTATACGCAAAACCACAAGTATAAAGTATGCATGGCATGCGAATGTGTGTGTGGCACATAAGCGTACAAAATGAGGCGGCACGGATTAGACCCACGGGGTAAATGGATCATGTTTGACAGACTTGCTGTACTAAAGCCATCTATCCACACATGCTAATATCGTACTCAACGTGGCGACATCTTACCTCACTCGGCTGAGTGTATACGTGTGTGAGAAACGGAGATTGAGCCTGAGAGGAGGAGAGCTGAGAAAGACGATCACTTTGGTCAACTTCAGCAGTAAAATCTGTCACTTACGTAACTGGGAATAATTGAGCACATATGTATTTTTTTCCTCCCCCTGTCTCAAAAAGAATTTTAGTTTGAATGTTAGATTGTAGTCAAAGGACATAAATGTTTTTTTTTTGTTGTTTTTTTTTCTATGTAAAACAAACAAAACAAAAATGAACCTTGTTGGATTTCTACAAAGTTTTTAAAGGATTTCCAACTGCACATTTCCATTTTTTTGTTTTGAATGAAAGCTCTGCCTAAATTAAATTTAACAATAAAGCCAAACCCCTCTGAAAACCCAGACATCCCGAGCAGGTTATGGTTCTCCTTAGAAGGTCTCACCCCAAAACCAACATCTTGTTTTTTGGTAAATTTGTACAGGCTGACAAGGTGCTTTGAGAGAAGTCTAGGATCTTAGAAACTATTTGTTATTTATTACAATACGTCTGCACTTCATTCAGGCTGCAAAAGAGCAAAGCTTTCAGCAGGTAATAGGAAATCTGACCACTTTGCAGTAAACTTGCACTATTTCATTGACTTAGTTCTGCCTGTTTCTGCAACAACAGGCAGAACAGAAGGCAACTTTAGCGTCATGAGACAGATGTTGTGTACAGGCACATATTTCTTCAGGTTAGAAACTCTTTGTCATGTGTACGTTTCTTTATTCTGCCAAAATCCTTTGATTAAAAATTATTTGAAAATGGTGGAGCTATTTTTCTTACTCATTTTGCAAAACAAAGTTATTGTGACTGCAACTACATAGCACACTGCGATTTTTCACCTTGATCAGAAATATTGCCACAATGTCCAATAGGACGATTTTGTGCAAGCAGATTTAGTTGAAACAACAATGAAAAAAGTACAATATTCTTATGCCAAAAGTTAATAAATGTCCTAGTTTTTGCAAATTAACAATTCATAATAGACCTATCGCATTGACACTACTGGCTCATAGTCAGTATTATACTACTGACCAAACAGCAAGCTGCTACGTGTTTTTAAAACATGTTTCAATTACTCTCACTCTACTACTGGGAAGATTATACCTTTCAAAAAGCAATCATCAATAGTTTCATCTCTTTTTCCCTTTGTATAACCATGACTGGGAGCATTCACAAGTCTGTGATTATTGGAGGCATTTTGTCAGACACCGCTCTGGTGACGTCTATAATTACTGACAGATGTTAGAGAAGTCAGAGCTCCCCTCTAGTTCTCCCAGTGTTAGTGTGGGAACACACACACACACACTTATACGCGCACACACACACGTACACCAGACAGTCTGTTGCTTTTCAAACCTCCCACACAGACAGTACGAGCCTCTGCTCAGCTCTCGCACACAGAAAACCAACGCGAGGCGATCCAAGAACACCCATTCGCACATGCAATCAGATTCAGTTACACGGACCTCGGCCGCAATCTGGACAGAGACCGGGACCACCGCTTGACAGCCTCGAAGGAAGGAGGGAGAAGAGCGGGTGGACTTAAGTGGAAAATACATAACTGCTTTCAGTTTGATGAATGAAATCAATAAAGCGACAATCTGGAGGCAATGACTACTGTAGCGTGAATTTTGGTTGCAGAGATCTCACACACAGATTTTCACACTTGAGGCTTTGAGCATACCTGCAAAGAAAAAGCTCGAAGTGCTGGGATGGGGATGAGGGCTGCCATGAAGAAGGCCGTGACGTTGCTGATGGAGGTGAGAGCCACGCTGGCCCCAGTCCTCTTCAGACACTCCCCAGTGCGGTCCTGAACGGAGACAGAAAGAGCAAAGCAAACGGGGGGGGGGAAGCTATTAAACATCTGATCAGCTCTCAGCCAGAAGCAGATGTGTAATGCAGCGGATTAAGAACAATTATTTCAAAACCAGCATGACTGACAGTGATTGCGAAGCTTTTTGAAGCCTTGAAGTGCTTGGAAAACTCTCCCGGGCCTGTCTGCCTCACTTTAAGGTGCAAAAGGAAAACCAGAAATGTTCACTTCTCGCAGAAAACACACACAAAACAAAGAGTAATACACATTCAAACAGAGTGTGTTTTTTTTTTTTTTGTTTTTTTTTTCTGTAACTGCGTGATGATATGGGGACGTGCAGGACCACACACGGAGCATCTCCAGGCGTGTCCGTCCTTGTGTGTGTATGTGTGCGTGTGTGTGCGTGTTTATGTGTGTCAGACAGCAGAGATCAAGTTCAGCTCTGTTTAGTTTTCATCTCAGTCACACAAAGGAAGCTAGAGGGGGGGAAGGAGAGAGTGGAGAGCTGGAAGGGGAGGAAAGCAGTGGAAAACAAAAACAAGCAAATACATGTCTGGAGATGAACTGTTCAAAATCCAAACAATTACGTCCCATGTGAAGATGGAGAGATATATACGCTGCGTGTTACAATATGCGCTTGAAATCGCTATAAGCATACAAAATACTTTTCGTATGGAAAGAAAAACACACAATTTGTGTATGCCTGCGCTAAAATGATAACACAAGAGCTTAAATTGTGGCAAAGGAACACAGACACACACAAAAAAAGAGAGTAGAGACTGCTTGGCAAGCAGTGAGAAAAATCATACTTCTAATACGGAGCATTGCTTAGATAAGCGGGCTAAGTGTGTGGCACATGAGCTGTGCGATGTTACTTCACAGGCACAGACAGGCTTTCACACATTCCTCCGCAGTGGAGATAAGACATGAAAGGAGCTGGGCCAGCATGACTGTGGATGTTTGCCTCACCTCAAAGGGTATCCTCTTGTTCTGTCCGGTCTCACTGAAGGCATGAGCGAGGAGGAAGACATCATCCACTCCAACTCCGAGAGCCAGGAAGGGAAGAACCTGCAAACGGCAACCAACAAATATGAACTGCTGAGCATCTTTTTCAGCTTTTATGCAACAAGGCAGGTGATGATATTGAGTTAGTCAGTCCTCAAAGACTTGAGATTTAAATCGGATTTTATTTTAGCTGTTAGAAATACTAAATGTACTAAACATTTATTCAGCTACTTGAAAAAGCTGTCAGAATACGATTGCTCGGGACAATGATGGCGACATATGTAGGAGTTCATCCCGCAATCAGCAATCATTTTTTGGCATCATTTCACAAGCTTTACTTATTGCTTTATTAGTTTATTTTTTGTGTATGTAGGGCACCTTGCTCACACACACCTTTTCAGGTGTGCCCACAGTTTAATGGGACTGAGATCAGGAATTAGTGATGGCCATTGACTTTGCTGATTTTAAGACCCTGTATAAGTAATAACTGACTGTCTGCTTGTGCATTTGGAAGATCAGTTTATTGGTGTTTGCAGGCTTGCAGGTTTTCCGTTGTTCTTCCATGGTAACAAGGATGGAGCCAGGTCCTCTTTCTGTTTTTTCCCCTTTAATAAAACCTTGACCCAACTAACTGATGGATGAGAGGAAGCTGCCCGCCGTCATGTGCGTGAGGTACCTGCGTGGTGGCAGCATTGAAGGAGATTCCCAGGAGAGAACAGAGGCCCAGCCCAGCCGCCACAGACAGCGTCACCAGAAGGACTCCAGCCAGCCCCACGGCACCCTGGGACTTAGCACAGTCCCACCGCAGCATGGTCAAACACGCATAGGCCAGCTGAGCACAGACGGGAAAACAATTAGTCACATTCTCCGTGCTTTTATTTTATATCTGTGAGATTCATTTTAGCAAAGGATTTGCTTTTAGTTATGAACGGGCCCTCACCATCAGCAGGTATCCACTGGCCACCCGGATAACACTGATATCAGAAAAAGACTTGAGAATATCCTCCAGAGTGGTGGTGGTAAAGGACAAGACCTTTTGGGAAGAATTTGTTGCCACACTATGCAGAACTGCCTGAAGAGAAATAGATGAAAGAGAGAGTGATTCAGGCAGGAATTAATGCAGACATAAAAGAGCTCAGGCAATAAAACTAAACAGGCAGTTTTCCATGAAAATGCAATGCAGCAAATGTGGAAAAAAGGCCTTTGGTTGCTCGAGTTGAAATTTTTGGCCTGAATGCAAGACATAATGTTTGGAAGACAACTATACCATTTTATGCTACATTAAACAAGTATGGCCACATGTATTACTGGCATAAACTCAGTGTATTTAATATTTAGCTAATACTTAGCGTAGTCCAAGCAGTTCTTGGCAATATGAATATTCGGTGCAGGGATATAGCAATAACAAAAAACTTGCAATATATTGTGCAGCCCTAGTTAACAGATGCTCTCCATTCAATTTGACTTAAATCGTGCTACTTTGCAAAGAAAAATGGGGGGAAAAAATGTTGACTCAAGATGTGCCAAGCTGGTAGACACACGCCCAAAAGACTGAATTTGTAGTTAAAGTAGCTCTAAAAAGTAACGTCTCAATAAAACCAAAAGAAAAAAAGAAAAGCCGTTCACCCTTTTACGTTTTCTTTATGATAACGCGGCACTTTATCTTTTATCTTTCACACTAAATTCTAATAAAATACTTTGAGGTCTGCGGTTGTACCATAGTAAATGTTTAAAAGTTCAACATTTTTAAATACTTTTGCGAGGCGCTGCAGGAGTCTGTGCAGACAGCACCACGATCCCTTCGCTCTGTGTTTTACTATCACAGACAGACAAATAGCTTCAACCTCAAATTCTAGTTACAGCTCAGTGGGGAGCAATGCTGGCTGAAACACATTAGGTAACACACACTAGATCACCCACATGTGAACTTGCAAATGCCAAAATGCACGCATATTTTTGCAGACACGCCTAAAAAATTCACACACCGAAAACACACACTGAAAATATCTGGCGTCTTTTGTCTTGCTCGACGATTAATTTTACAGTCAATTATTTCCTAGCTAAAAGATCAATACCACACACATGTATAGGGTCATGTGGAACAGAGAGCTGGGCCTCCCAAAACAAAGACCAGATGATGTCACACATGAGCCACCAATGGGGCCACAGCTGGGAAAGTGATTGTGTGTGAGCTCTGGATTGTTGCAAGTGTGTGCGTGTGTTTGTGTGAGAGTTAAGCTGAAGAAAAGAGAGATATCCAGCACTCTCTTAATGTATTCCAGACACGCATGTTCTTTTGCTCCATCGCTCCTCTCCAATGAGCAGCGAGAAGCTTCATCCCTTCTACCACACACCAACAGAGGTTTGACTATCTATCAGGGGCCTGGGCTTTAGACGAGGCCGTTCCGTGTACACCTGTATCCGGCCTGTGATTTACTGTGTGGTTGTAGAGGATTTAGGGAAGATTTCTTTTCTCTTTTCCTTTTTCCTCCCCCCATTTCTGAGCCTTTAGCCCTCACCTCAGAGTATTTCCTCTGCCAGGCTTCCAGGATAGCTGCGGCCTTTTCTTCATTCCAGTTGATGTGGGAAACCTCATCCCAGTCCCGAAAGTGCTCAAACATCTGCTTGGGGGTCATCAACTGGAACATGGTCTGTAAAGCCTGAGCACTGGAGAGCACACAGGGAAGAAGAATATTGAAAGGATCAAGGACAGGGAACAGAGTTACAGGTGCAAGGCTAAGAAAACTTCCTCATATTAAAGATGTAAAAAGAAAGCACTCTGGGCACACTCTGTTTTTGGGTTTGATTTAATCAACTAATGAGCATCAATCACCAGACAGGGAGAGGAGATGTTGTATTTTGAACAACCTTTGACAAGCAGTGCATGTAGGCTTCAAAATATCACTTATTCAGAAGCATCAAACCCACCGACTAGAAAAAAAAAAGCAAGCTGCTTCCAGCAGTACATCCACTAGAAAATACACATACAACGTGGGTTTCAGTTCTAATGGAGGAGTTCTAAAACAAGATACAGAACTCCCTTAAATTTTTTTAATTCTTCTTTGATTCAAAAATACAACAGGTGGATTGATGGATGGAAGAACGGACAGATGGCAGAACAGAGAAATTTATGGATGGGTAGATGGAAGAACTAATGGACAGACGTACAAGTGAGTGGATGGATGATAGATACAAGTTTTAGATGGGACTATTTAGACAATTTTTCCAGCCATTATAGACTTTAAAAGAAACCCTGTTTTAATACACCTTTTTTAACCACTAAGAAAAATAGTGCAGTTAGAAGGGTGAATCCTGAAAACCATTCAGCTGAAAAATGCCACTAGGAGCAGATGTATTTCTTAGATCCTTCATCATTTTAGAGATTTTTATTTCCAGATTCTCAAAAATATTCCAAATGGTAAAAATGGATTATACTATAGTATAGCATTTTATCAAGGCTGTAGGTCGACAAAGCGCTTAAATTAAATTCAGTAATTCACCGACTGACTTGCTGGATGGTGGCAAGTTACTCAATTGTAGCCACAGCTCCCCTCAGAGGGGAGGCTACCATGCACCAGTGCCACCTGGCCCTCTGACCACACCCAGTAGGCAAAGCGGGTTAACCGTCTTGCCTGGTCTGTCTACCAATTAGAAGACACACTCCTTCCACTGTTGGCCCTATTTTCCCTTTACAAGGTTCTCCTTCTTAAAGCCACGAAATGAACAAATTGCTGCTATAATCAGGGATGACTCTACTTGTGCACAGCACTACTGCAGCCTCCCTCAGAAATGCCTCCACAAGGAACCTGATTAGAAGAGCCATAATACCAAGTATAATGAATACTGCACAGCCTTAATGAGCACATTTGCAAGCCAATAATGTAGTGCAAGTGATTAGTTATTAACAAATGAGACTCGACTAGAGAGCAACTTGTGAACAGCGCTCAAGTCAGTCTGTGTATTTTCGCATCATCAAAAAGCAATGAAACAAACAGCAGACATTAGCCTGTCATTCTCTTTATGAATGTGATCTTTGTGGCACGGTGATAATCACGGTAATGGTGGCAGTTAGTAAACAAGATGTAGAAACCGAGTGCCAGCAGCAACAGCAGCAGCAACACACTAACACACACACATGCACGTGCACACACACAGTGCAGGAACACACCAGCACTGTAATGACCCAACTTTGCCAGGAAAACACAACCGCAAAAAAACAAAGAATGCAGCCAACTGTACTCTCCGAGCAGGATGTGTGTGAACGTGCATATGTACTTTTCTACGTACATGACTGTGCCATAAACGCTCTAATGTAGCAAGTACAAAGTGTGCAAGCAAAATATGTAATAATTTTTCTAATTGCAAAATAGACCCGTTTTATTTATTTTTTTTCAATAAAATTTGAATTTCTGTATCCGTTCGGTATTCAAAAGTCATGGATCGAACATAAAACTGTGTAAATGATGTATGCACATCACCAATTCCGCAAGCTTTGACCTGGTGCTTGTGTTGGACTTAAATCTGTGTAAATGAAATTGCTGTATATTTGAAGAGACTAGCTGAGCAATAGATCACTCTGTGCCCCTCTCTGTGTATACGAGAGTCAGAGGGAGGGTAGAGTCCAAGCAGTGCAGCCAGGGCTGAGGAGCAACAGCTGGAGCTCTTAGAATTTCACTGGAATCTGCTAATGACTGCAAGATTTATCGCATACAGCGCACATGCACACTCAGAAAGCGTAACAGAACAAAAAACATCCAGCGTCTCCAAAATAAGCTTTGTTAGAATCCCCGTGGTGTTCTTATGAATCTGCGGATGTGTAAGCATGGGTAGGTTACCTGAGTAGGGGTCCGCTGCCATTCTTTGTGGTGCCTCCTACAATGAGTTCCTCTTGCCAGTGCATGTACTTCCTGGACAGACCGTGGCAGCCACCACTCAAAGCCCGTGCCACGTTGAATGGCTGTTGTGATTAAGAAGCAGAAGTTAAGAAAGTATAACTCGATACTACGCACTAAAGATGCATAGTAGAATCAGCTAGTAACAGGATTTGTCTAAAATGCAAAAATACATTGTTTTCCTAATCAGTGTACTCATCATAACCCAGCAGAATGCACTAGTCATCAATAATTTTGCAGGGTTTATGCCAGTTTTAGTAAGGCACGTTTGGCACTTAAAGCAAACTAATTTAAGGCACTTAAATTAGTTTACTTAAATTAATATTTTGAATTCAATTACAGTTCTAATTTAACAATTGTAGTTGGATAAAGTACGTATAGAAAAAAGCAAGCCACCAATTTACCACCAGTTTTTGATTGATGAACTTCTAATGTTGCACATGCATGCATAACATTTTCAAGCCACCGTCTTGATGGTAGTCATGAACCAACCTTAGTTGAGTTCTTATTGGGTGCAGTATCGGGGCAGTCGGGGTCAGCGGGGTTCAGACAGGGCCTATCCATGTAGCCATGCCCGACGTCCGCCTTTTCCAACATGTCCTCAAAGCTATCCACAGGAAAGTGTGCTCTTCGTAACTTTTCAAGAAACTCCTTGGGGTCAAAATTGGTCCATTGCATAAGGTTTTCACCTCTGCAAAGTTCAAAAGCAAATGTTAGCATCTCTTCTCCCAACCACTGTATGAAGAAAACATATTTCTTTTTAAGAAAGGAAAGGGTAATAGCTTCATTTTTTTGTTTTTCGAATTTTATTGCGAACTAACTATAAACTTTACAACGTTAAAACTTTTGAGCGCAGTAAATCATTTCCGTGCTAGGTAACCATTTCCCATCGTGCAACAAGTAATTTCCTGCTCCATCCCAGATCTTGTTTCTCCATTCTCTCCTTTCCTCACACATTCCAATCTCCCTTTTTTTATTATCTCTCATTCTGACTACATTGTACTTGCTTAACCAGGCTTGGGTTATTATTCCCAACCTCCCAACCAGAACATAGTAAAAAGCCTTATTTACTATTCTAAACAAATAGGCAATGCACACAGAGGGATGTGCACATCCATTGATGATGGCAACCCAAACCGGTATGCTTTTCACACATGTACAAGACACATGGATGCACCACCGGCGAAGGCACACACTTACTGCGTGGACAAACCCATGCAGAGGTAAAGGTCTGCTGAGTATTACTGTAGCAGCAGGCTATTAGCAACAGAACGGCCAGACAATGGCGTGAGGCCCAGGGCTGGAGAAAAACCATTGCCAGCGATACGCATGCCAGAGACCACTACAATAGAGCCTTCAGAGGGGACGAGTTCAGGACACACATGCACACACTCTTGGTCTTCTATGGTGTCTCTTTGGATGGGCTCAGTGTGCTAAAGTAGCCTCTTCTACCAGAGGCAAAAAGAAGATGCAGAGGAAAGCGTCCTGGTGCAGTTTACGCTGAGCTAACATTATAAACCAGTGCAGAGAAGCTCAGTTCTCAGAGATGTCCCCAAACTTAGTTTTGATTGGTTTGCCAACTGACCTGATAAAGAGAAAAGCGATTATGTGTGCCTAATTAGGATTTCCGTCGGCCCTCCGTGTGCTTGTCAGGATATAGTCGAGCAGATAATACGTTGCAGTGCAAGGCTGGAATTTTCTAAAATTACTTTTTTATCAGTTTTGATAAGTCGAAATGTGGTACTTACGGGAGATAGACCATTCCAGAGTGGAGTTTAGCTCCTTCCCAGAAACAGTCCAAAGGGGTGATGATGAGGCAGGGATGAAGCTTTTCTATAATCTGATTGGATAAACACAAAGAAGAATTCACACCAAATGACAGGTTGGTATCAAAGTTGGGGAGATAATGTTAAAACAAATGATTGTCTCACCTGATTCATAAAATGTGTTTCTGTGACTAGTTCCCCTGATTTGAAGCATAAGTGTTCCAATGTCCATTGTCTGAAATAAACAGAAATTAGATATGCATTCAGTTTTTTTTTTTTTTTTTCCCACCAGGGCAGGCTTTGAGGGAAAATGACATGGACATTTAACATAACAGGATTTAATGTATTACGGCCCTATCACAAACATCAGAGATGAGGACAGAAAATATTAGTTACCTGTTATAAAGGTAAACATGAACTCTGCTGGCTCGGAGAGCAGACTCCAGGTGCTGTAGAAGGGCCTCCACCGTTAGTATGTTGGCTCCCTCCTCCCGTGGTGTCTGGATCATCAGCTGAGGGTTAAACATGGCCTCCTCACCCATCTTCTGTCGTGTGTACTTCAGTTCCTGGTTAACACGCCCACCAACTGGACAAAGAAGAGTTCAGTCATTAAGGTGTCTTTTTTTTTTTTTTTACCCCAATGTGCAAATATTTGAACACATCTTATTTATATTTGAATGCAATATCTATTAAGTTAATCAAACCCTTTATAATTCACAAGCACATAAACTTAATGATATGCATTAGCTTATTTAAATTGAGGAGTGAGGTCATTTGTTTCGCCTCTAGTGTCTCTAGAAGTGCACGGCGGGTCTATTTACACAGGTGGAGCGAATAGACTGAACACAGTGGGCTGCAGTAGCTGATGCTTAGCGCAAGTGTAGCTTTATGGACGAACTGAAAAATAAATTTCCTACCACCGGGGTCGCAACAAATGGGTGCCGGAACACACCCTGGTGGTGCATAGCTGGCAGATGTGTTTCTGTGAGTGACAAAAGTGTCCAATCTCATCGCTAACATGCACACAAAAGCTATAAATTGCTGGGAAAAGTGAGAGTTTATCTATCAAATTGACTGAAGATGAATATAAAAACTTGTATCTGGAGAAGAGACATTTTTTATTTATTGCATCTGTGAGTCTGTTGCTTTATTATTAAACTGAATATTATTTCGGATTTTTGCATAGTTCTTGTCCAGATTAACTTAAAAAGTGACCTTTTAATGTTATAGGTTAATTTTATAAATTACAGACATGTAATTGTTAGGAGTGTACAAATATAAACATTTGGGCAGATGCTGAAATAAATGTAGTTAACAGAATTCTCCAGAATACACTGATGAAGCAGAACATTTTGACTATAATGTGGGCACTTTGACTGGGCAACCCCTATACACAACTGTGATGCATTGTGCATTCCGACACTGTTCTCTCAAAACCAGAAACAACATTTAAATCAATATAAGCCTTTGCTGCAGGTTCACCAATGCCACTTCTTTAGATGACTTCCGATAGATGCTGAACACTGCACAAGGACAGCGATTTTGGTAGTCGATTCATCTAGCCGTCAAAAACTTGCTTTTTTTCTGGTGAACGGTTTGTGAACGTCAAAGAAGTAAATCAAGGCTAAAATTTCCGCTGGCTTACCAAACTTAGACGATATAATGATGGAAAAAACTGTGAGTGTCAATTTCAACTCATGGTGTGGCAAGATACCCTGGCAAATTTTACCAAGTAGGGATGCAAGTTATCAATTAATGAGTTGTTCATTGATTCTTATCGATTGACTTATAATTCCATGATAAGTGGCCATTTTCTTAAAACCCCCATATTTCTCTTTTAGCAAGAGGGCAGTCTTACAATAACATGAAGGGCTAATTTTTTCATAATATGATGAATATAAAAATAAAATAATTTAAAAAAATTAAATGAGCTGTATCAAATACCAAGTAAACAGAAAATTGTGCTTTTTTGACACAATTTTGTTCAACTTATATAAGACAAAACAAAACAGGAACCTTAGGATGCTGAATAGAAAAATAATAGATGACTAGAATATGTCAAACCATTCATTCCCCATAAACAGAGCTATACAGAAGCCTGTGGTTGCTCTTCAAAGACTGTTAAACCTTGCTCCATGAAGTGCAATGACTCACCCCCCTCAAAATCAGTCGTACTTATTGGCATAATGTTTTTTTTTGTTTTTGTTTGTTTGTTTTTAACATTATGACAAAAATGGGGGGAAATGGGAGTAAAACCCTCTACTCTTCTGTCAAGGTGTCAGGTGCGGTGGGTGAGAGGTGGTGAGGAGAGACGCAGATACCCAGGTTGTAGAAGAAAATGATGAATTTAATAAAGATGCTCAAAACAGTCCAGATCAGGCGGCACGGCAGAAAGATAGCACACAGCTAAATACCGGTAGCAACTGAAAAAACTGAAGACTAAAAACGAGAGCTAGACCAACACAGGACTTAACAGTTCAACTGTGAGGGTACGCAGACCAACGATGAATGACGTAAACACAACGTACGACAAGGATCCGACAACAGACAAAGACAACAGGTGGGACTAAATACACAGGGAGGGTAATTAAGGAATGAGAAACACCTGGGAAGCAATCAACGGGGAAGACGCAGAAACAACATAGACTCAGGACAGAAACTGAACACAGAAAAACCTTAAAATAAATACACAGAAACACGGATCATGGCACAAGGTCTTAAATGTTTAATCAAAGCATACAATTACACACAAATCTAAAAATTTGAGAAATTTACAAATTTGTTCAAACTGAAATAGAGCAGGGGTGTCCAAAGTGTGGCTTATGGGCCAATTGTGGACCTTCGCTTGATTTTGTTTGGCCCCCAACTGCAGTTCAAGAATGACACAAACTTTGTCTGTAGCACAGGTGGTTAATGCAGATGGAGACTTTTTAATTTTAACTAGGGTAAAATTATTACAAACATAATTTTCTTACAATAGAAAATCTTAAAAAGAGTATTTCTCTTTTTATAACCTGGCTTTAACAAAATGTAGAACCACATTTATCCATGGCTCTTTACAAAAAAAAAAAACTGCTTTTATTGTTTATTAAACTTGTATAATTATAGCAAGCATTTGAGAGAAAGTGACTCAAATCCTGTTCTTATTACAGCAAATAAATTTGTTCAATCAGGTCCAAAAGAAGCTGAAGAGTACATGTCTTCCTTTTGATCCAGCAAACATGCAAAATTACTTTTAAGTTTTGCATCTGCAATAAAAAAAACATCAATTTAGAAAAAAAAAAAATCTGGATACTTTATTTACTTGATTTTAGCTTTTTTTTTGTCCGGCGAGTACTTTTGGCTCGAAAGCTTTGGCTCATGTGACAAAAAGTTTGAATGACCCTGCCACAGAGTCCTAAGACAAATTTCTATTTTGAAACATGAATTTAGTAGTAATACATTTTACTTTCCAAAGCAACATTTTTTTAAACCTTACAATCAATGTCAGGCCAATTTTGTCTGTGTACAAATATAGTGTGTAGTTACAGTGATTTTATGATAGCCTGCCTTTTATTATCTGTATCCTCTAAAAAGGATTGTGACGACAAACTGCAGTAAAAAATAAAAATAATATATAACTTTTCTGTGCAACATTTAGAATTTTGCAATTCTTTTCTTATTAACAAATCTTTTATCAGCCATGACAACAATATTTACATCAAAAATTGATACTGTCCCAAATTTTCACATCAATGCATTCCTAGGAATATTTGTATTTATAAATTTGAAAATAAAAAGAAACAATACTTGAAACTGACTTTAAAACACTAATCTAGTCATTTAATTTCAGAGAGTAAAAACAAATTATTCTGTAGTGTAAATAGCTTGTTTCAATGCAACTGAAGAAGGAGTGAATAGCATTATAACATACATAATCAGTGGCAAAAAGATACAGACTGTGCTATTTGCTTTAAAAGTGATGACAAGAACTGGAGAAAGACAAAACAATGAAATAAAAATCACCAAAACCATTTCGGTTTAATCGCTGTAGGAGCGCTTTTAATACCGAGTGTGTGCCTGTGCACAACTTCAATTTCAGTGTGCCAGATTTATGAGAGGAAGATCTGCACCCCTTCCATCATCAGAAACTAAACACTCAGTGAAAGCTCAAGTAATTCATAGTTGTCTTCTTTCAATGTCTTGAACACACTCACACACACGCAAACACACAAAACATGAAAAATGCCCAGTAAGAGTGTTGGATGTGTGAAAAATCTGTAACATTTTATTATGCCTTAATCCAATTTAACAATTCGGCTCAATTCGTGCAACAGTAGGCATGGATTGAATGTTTTTACTCCATTGTAATGGCATTAAAGTTGAACATAAGCAGGCCTGTTCTGCTGGGCCGGACCACCCAGTCAGACCAATGGAACGGGAGGGAGGGGGCCATGTCTTGGGGCATTAGGAAAACACACTTGATTTCTTCTTTTCTGGACCCAAACAGCATTCCCATCTGATCCTGTCTGAAAGCATGTTTATAATACTCATCATTAATAGCAGGCCGAGCCTAACTAGAGCGACATGCTTTCCAGTACTAGGCCAGCTACACAGCTATGTTACACCAGCAACTGCCTTCAAAGGAGCATGCATGGAACTGATTAGGACCCGATGTGCACTGACAGTGCACTAACAAGTCAACTTGTCCAATGCACTCAGCACTCGGACGCAAAGCTAGCCTCAGGCTCGGTGTAAGTGCACTGCCAGAAGGAAGAAAGATAACACTGATACAAGGAAGGAAGCACATCTATTTTCACCCTGCCTCTCCGTGTGCGAGAACATGAAGAAAGATCTAATTGGAAAAAGATGGGAGGGCTGTGCTTAGAAAGAGCTCACTGTCTGGCCGGAATGCTTTCCAAGTTGCGGACAGCCACCCAAAAAAACCCTCGAGTTTACAGCGAGCGAGCAGTAAAGGAAGGGACAAGTCAAAGGAATGTAGTCTTCTTCTACAGGAAACAGCACATTACAGCCTTGGGCTTCAAGAATTCCTCACTTCACAAGGTTGCAAAGTTTTGGGGTCAACACTCACACAGCCGTGGGGTGAAATTAACACCCCAGCTGGACCAGGAAAAAGTGTGAGTGTGTGTGCACACAGCGCTGCGTACGTGCAGGGGTGTGCATACGAGTGTGTGTACACACAGCTGTGTTTCTTCAATGACACATATTCCCATATTCCTCCTCCAAGGAAAACTGGGTGACCCCAGCTTGTGTTGATAACTTGAAGGTGTTCAGCTCCAAGTTCAGCTGCTGTGACCAAAACAAAGTGTCACTGACTTTTAAATACTTGCTTTAACAGCACTATTTTTTTTTCCCTGATGTGTTTTTCTTCTTTAACATGAAAATACACTCCTGCTTCAACACTCTGGACTGCTATGCGATCTGCAGCAAACAGCACATTTTGCCTTAAAAGAAACCTCCAATATGCTCCAGATCAGAGCTCAGCATACAGTTTTTATAGTAAAAATGTGTCCATGTTTTTGGAAGAAAAATAGTGAGAACACCTAGGTGATTTAAGAAAAAGAGCTGGGTTGAACCAGTTGGTAG